CATTTTTGTATTTTATGACGATTTTACAGAAATTCGACAGTCTTATTAATTTTTCTAAAATTTCTATTAATATTTTCTGCCACTATTGTTGTAATATATAGAACAAAACATTTTCGAACCTCTTATCTAATTCATTCTATAACTCTAGAGGATCGATATTTCAGATCGGACGATTGAGAGAGAGTTATAACTATAACTTTCAATAAATGTGTTGATTTTCCATTGTTTCAAAAATATTAAACACAGCTTTGATGTATATTTGGAATTTGGGATCATTGTCATGTTGGAAAATACACTTTTTTCCCCAATTAACCAGGTGTTAGAAAAAACTACATGATTTTCTCGTTAATCTTTTTAAAGAATCCCCTCTATTCTTATCACACATAGTATTTGCTGTTATCTAAATAAAATTATTAATAATTATATGTATTATCTATATCTGCATCTTAGATGAGTCATCGTTATCTTTATTAAATTATCTAGAATATGAAAATAATTTGGTTTAAAGTCATAGCACATAAAAATATTTAAATATTTTAGCAGTAAGCAATAAAAATTTACAAATAAAAATATAAATGTGTTTATATCCTTTATATAATTTACATTTTTTTATAACTGTGTTTACATAACCGGTCTTAAAAATAATATTATCTGAAGTTCATCTAAGCACAACACTGTAATAAAAAAATACTTTGAGAGCTAGGTTTAATCTCATTTTAAAGCTTAAAAGTTAGGATTTCAACCATATACAACATTTTTCATAAAATTTAATATAGTGAATTGCAAACTCTCCAAAATTAGTTTTGATATTACCAACTTATTAGTATGATAATTTCTTTGGGAAAAAATATCAACCTGTTTTACCAGTTCTATATGGTAAAAAACATGGAAAAATTAAAATTTTACCAACTTTAAAATTAAAAATTTTAATTGGAATTGAATTTAAAAATCTGAAAAAATATACATCTTTATTAAGTTGCTTTTTAAATTCTTTTGCAGGAGAAATTTTCAAAATTTATGAAAAAGAGTTCTAAGCATTATGTTTATGAATGGATAAAACTGAAATAATACTTTTTAATGCTCCATATTCTTAATCATAGATATAAATGGAAATAATGGACGTTGTAGATTTAGTAGAAATATTTTCATTAAATCTCTTAAAATCAAAACAAAAGTAAAATTATTAAACAAAAATATTCACATGTATGATTATTGTACTGATAAGTATTGTCTATTAAATTACAAAACCCTTTTAATTTGTTAATTTAATTTATGTATATTTGAGTTAAGTGTTTTTGAATGAGCAGCTTACTTCCCTGTAGAGTGAAACATGAAGAGAGCGGCAGAGACATGTGTCAATATGTTTCAACTGATGAAGGTAAAGACTGACTACCCCTACTACCCATACAATTAAGCTCATGCTTAGGGTCTGAGCAGAATGATTGACTTATAAGATTTGAGACAAAAGACAGTTATTGTGCGTTACTACAAAACAAAGATTTAAAACATAAAACATTGTCTTAAAGTTATAAGTGAGGTATTCGGCTCAAGCCCTTAATCTTCACAAAACAATTAATAAATACAGTGTTTTTAAAAAAAGAGCTCTTATATTTAATATTTACAATTTTATATTATATACAAAATTATTAAAGTAATATCCAAAAAGAACTTGATTTTTATTAGTTTACGAAAATACTGTACTACAAATTTTTCCAATTTTTAAAATTTTTAATTTCAAAATCGGAAGATTTTTAACTTTTTTAAAGTTTGGACAATTTTTTCATTATAAAAAAACTTAAAAAAATAGATTAATATTTTTTCCCTAAAAATACTCATACTAATTGTAAGATATAAAAAAATCAAGTTTATTATTCTTATTTTTCCTAATAAAAAAAATCCCTAATTATGAAAAAAATATACAATTGCCAATTTTTGATAGTTATGCAATTCATTATACATTTTATTTTTAAAAATCATACTCAAAATTTCAATTTTTAAGCTTTAAAATGAGATTAATCATTAGTTCTCCATCTTATTATATAAGTTACAGACATTTAAAAAATAAAAAAAAATTGATACTTTATTACCGCAATACATAAAATTGGCTATAACTAAAAAAACAATTTTTTTTTAATAAAAAATAATCTTTATGTCCTAGAAAGTATATGTTACAAGTACGTAAAAAATTATCAAAATTAAAAATCATGCAATAACTTCCTCTTGTTGATTTGTAAGAAATGACTAATCGGTGTAATTATACAGATATAATTATATGAAAATAATTATATACATGACAAATTGTTTGAATAAAATCTAATAAAACTAGACAATATTCCTTATTGCGTACGTTCTTTTAGTGTATGTACACGATAGGACGATAATTTGTATATCGAAAGAGTTCGTAATGGTCGTATCATTGTAAAAGTTTGCATATAAAAAATGTTTAAAATAATGTGCATATATGCATATTACAAATAATAAGTCCAAAACCACAAATAAATTCTTATTCATTCATCACATCTTACAAGTTCCACTTACGCTTCCACATTTAATCTGCGCGCGCGAAATTGACTTGTAGTTGATACATATGTAACATATGTAGAAAAAAATGGAAAAAGAGGAAGTTTTTTATCGATACACGCATTCATGATTACGACTGTGTGTCATAAATATATCGCGGCCTTTCATCGATTTGGTACGCGCATAATTCGCATATATAACATCGTTACATCATCTGCGGTGAATGAATAAAAATCTACGTAGAGAGAATAAAAAAAGTCGCGAGTTTTTCCCTGTATAAGACGATATACATATACAGTCGGCTATCGGCATCGCGAGTCATCGTATCGTAAAAATAGCGTGACATTTCATTGATCGTGTAACGTATTCGTAAAAATATTCGCGGCTGTGTCGCGAGATTACACGTGCAATACATAACGCGAAAAAAACAAATTCACAAAGTCCGAGATATAAATTTCGGATTTTTTATTTTTTTTTTATTTTTATTTTTTTTTTTATATTTTTTTATATTTTTTATTTATTTTTTTTTTAGTCTAATCTCCAGATCAACTGAGCACTGAGGTGGTAACCCTGTCCCTGGATTAATTTCTATTGAACGACGTTTTATTATGTCGCTTATACTCATACTCATTAGTAGTCTCAGTGTTTGTGAGTCCACGTGTTACGTGTTTAAATAATTCTGCGAAAATATTTAACGATAAATGAAAGAATTTTTATGGCGTTTAAAAACGTTATTCGAATTCACACTTTACACCACACCTATCAAGTCGCTGTAGAAGTGACAATATTATCTGAAATATGATAAGAGTAAGGTACTCTAATTATCTGATAAATGGCACAAATATATTTCTGACATCATCAATTGGTATGTGGATATTTAGCATCTCTCAGCGTAATATGATGATACTGTGGAGAATTCAAAACTTATATCCTTCAAAATATTAGTAGTATACTATGGGAAAAAAATTTTAGGTTACTTTGGTTTTTTAGCTATCATTAACATAACATTTAGGCATAACTAACTAAATTTCAAGTATATAATATAACTAAAAGGCTACATAGTAGCTAATACTTTTTTCAGTGATATATATATACAGAATAAGATTTTGATGACTCATCCTAGAAATATTTCTTTTTCTATGTCTTTTACAAAAAATGTATGTCTTTTACACAAAAATTGTTTGACTTTATAGGAAACACAAAGAGCAATATAAATTTATTTACAGATAGCGTCACTTTCGAAAAATTCATTAATCATTATTTTTCTCAAATAGTTAGACTAAAACTAGAAACCTAAAGAGAAACTCGCCAAAATTCGTCACGTGACCATTAGTAAACTCTGATTGGGGTATGGATCGCACATCTGTGCTCTGTGAAGCATAATATCCGATGGATAAGTGGTTAGTATAAATAATAAAATAATATTTTGAACATCTGTTTGGCCTATTCTGTAACTTTTTAACGCAAGCGTTATAATTATAACGCATGATTACATAGATGTGTGATCCATACTTCAGTCAATCAGAGTTCAACGATCACGTGACGAATTGGCGAGTCTCTCTTTATAGAGCCTCTAACGGGAACAACATAAGCGCGCGCTACGCCAATGTTCAATTTTATATTTACAAAAATATAATTTTAAAAAATAATATAAAATTTGTCAATTTTTGTTAAAGATGTCAAACTGTTAACCCTGCTCGCATTGGCAGTCACCGATGGTAAGGCTCCTTGATTCTTGCCGCGACCATGTTGGATTGTGACGTCAGAAGCGAGAAAATACACGCTGAAAATTTTTGCGTGCCATTTTAGATAAAAAGATATTTCAATGAAACGAAAACATTACAAAATCCTTTGGCACACTTGTAAAATTGTCCGAAAACTTTCCTTTTCCCTTGACAGTTAATCAACAGCCGTAAAATAATTGAAACATCAGACTTTGTCATGCGGAATGATTGCGCATGGGCAAAGACCAAACGGACTAGACCTCATATTACAGTTATTTTACAACTGTTGATTGATTATAAAGAAAAAAGGTTAGTTTTCGGACAATTTTACAAGTGTGCCAAAAAATTTTGTAATATTGTTTCATTGAAATATCTTTTCATCTAAAAATGGCACGCAAAAATTTTCAGCGTGTATTTTCTCACTTCTGACGTTACGATTTTGACATGTCTTGTGTTTCCCTTAAAGTAAAAAAAAAACTTTTATATGAAATATTGTTTATAAAAAGCGTAGGAAAAAAGAGAGGTATAGGATGTTAAAATGCCCACCCTGTATATGCTTCGTTACTTGTTCAAACTACATTCTGTTACCGCATGACAGTTGTTAGCGCATCCGTCGTCTGACAAAGATAAAATGACACACAGAGATCAAAGTCTGTAATATACAGACTAATAGATTATTCTATCGTCATATCGCGATAAAAAAAAGTGAGCGAGACAAATAACTAACAATAAGAAGAAAGATTGAAAATTACTCACCGATCGATTTTGTCCATCGTGATAGGATGCTGCAAGATGGTTTGCTGCCCTGTCATTTCGACGACGCATTGTGTACCGAGTTCCAGCTCTGTAACGAAAAGACAATCAGTCAAGATAGTTCAAATCATATTTAGTCTGAGAGTGAATTTTTTCAATCATATTCAAACTGTATATATCGTGAATTGAATTTAAAAACATATAATTCAGATATTAAAATAATTAAAAACAATAAATTGCGCCACACAAGTCAATACATGAGTCAATACAATTTGATTATCGTACGTCATAATCAAGTGTGATAATTAAAGGTGATCGTAAAATGCATGTGTGTGCAAGGTGTTTTATTTTTATTTCCTTAAATTAATATCTAGAAAAATATGGAAGAGAAAAAAATTTTATACAAAAATTGTAAGATTTCGAGAGGAGCGTCTTATTGTACGCATAGTTTTATTTCAAGTGGAGGCATTTTTGAGATTTCAAAATTATCATTACTTTATCAAACGGAACTACCATAATTTTCTTACATAAATTAATTTCTAGTATTTGGTATAAAAATTTGTTAAAATGGAACAATAAAAAAACGAATAATTAAAAAATTTGTTATGCTTTATTCTGACATATTTTGACAAAAAATATAAAATACCTCGTATACTCATTTTACGATTATATATGCACCAATTAACAATAGTTTATACATATAATAAATGACTTATCTTATTTGCAAATATTGCAATTAAAATTTATTTATATTTTTATTCAAAAAGTTACCGTTCTAATTAATTAAAAAAAAATAAATAAAAAAGTACATGCATATATAAAATATATGAATCTAAAAAATTTTTTTTTCACAAAGATGAACATTAATCTGAGAATCCGTCAAATCATTTTGATTAAAAATTGTACATGCAACCGATAATATAAATCTAATGTAGCTAAAAATTGAGATTGAATTTGTAGAGTTCGAAAATTGAGCAATAAAAGCGAAAATTTTCATATAATTATTTTAATGAGACAGGCGAGATTTTCACATAAACTAAGACGTAGAAAAATTTTACTAAAATAATTTTTATATTCATTTCAAACCCATTTTAAACTCTGGATGCTTTATTCAATAAATTTTGCTAATTATGCTTTTGGTTATTGTTACAATGAGATTAATGATACATCATACTTAATCTTCATTATACACAAGAAATAATATCATTTCACAGAAATATCCTGGTATGTAATATTTATTTAAAAAAACTTATTACAATTAAATAAATAATTTTAAACTAAAAAAGTTTTAAACCAGAAAAGATATATGCGAGAATAGAAATGAATTACACGCTTTGTAATTTCTCTCTTGAAATAATTTAACGGGGTCAGCTTATATTCTAGAAACTGTTTCTATTTCTGCACTTTCTCCAACAAATTTTTTTATGATTGTCATTTTCTGTTCATATGTCATTATCTCGTGTAAAATAAATTATATCGACGATACAGAGAATGGCTTGAATTCTGTTGATCTAAAAAATTTAAAGAATTTTTTAATTAAAAGAATTAAAAGTGAGAGCAATGTCTTTATGTAACACGCTAATATAAACTGTTGAAACCACAATAGAAAGGCAAGAATGTAGAGTAACTTTACTCGCATAATAATTCTATGACTCTTGAGAAAGAGATGATTTCTTTCTTTTATCATACATATACATATACATATATATAGATATATATGTACATAAAAAATTATGAAAAGTTATGAACTCAACTACTATATCACTTTGTGACTATATCATCTATTATCAGAGAAAGGAAAGTATAATTGAAAGTGCAATGTATATGTCCTACTTTCTAGAAATAGTGTTATTATATTTTTCACGTATCATATAAACAGAGTTTCTTCAACATTACTATTACTGTCAACATATCAATGTTGTACATTGAAAATTGCAAGTTTTTTAAAATTCGAGAGTTTGTTTTTGTTACACCGATTGATTTATCTCATTAATCTATGTAGAAAATTATTAAGATAAAATATTCGGAAAATGAGTATATTGCGAAATATTTTATATTTTTGTGAAAATGTGTTAGAATGAAGCCTAAAAATATCGCGTAAACCATTTATTTTTAAACTATTTTACTTTAAGAATTTTTTACGCCAAATATTACGAGGAATCGATTTATGTAATTAAAGTAGTTCCGTTTAATAAAATAATAACAACCTTGAAATTTCAAAAATGTCTACTTGAATTATAACTATGCGGTTATAATCCCTTGAATATGTAAGAGCCCTTCGAAATCCTACTATTTTTGTATAAAACATTTTTTGATAGAAGCTTTAGTTTTCTAAAAATGGCAATTAAAAAAATGCATTATTTCAAATAGAACTCTAATATATAGTACTACAGTACAAGTATATCATATACAATATATATATATATATATATATATATATATATATATATAAATATACTATATACTGTAAAATAATTATATATATTTATATATCTATAATGATACATCATCATACAATATCATATGCTACAAAGCAAAGACTTTGTGAAAAGTTGAGACATGGCAAATTAAATATAGTAATTTCTACTTAATTTGTTAGATGACGAAAAAGAAAGTATTGGGTAACGAGCTGTTAAATAACGAATACTATGCTAGACAATGTCGCATCGTGTAAATTAAATCTTACAAGTATGAAAGTTTGATGATTAATACGCTAGAAGGAAAGAGAGGGAAAATTACACAATTTTATCATAAGTAGAATCCATTATCCGGTCCCTTCTTTCTCTTCCTTCCTTCTCCTCATGCTGCTGCACCTTGCGGTACGCGTTCATATGCGTTCTAAGTTAAAATCAACGCTAAAAAACTTAACGCGCACGTACACGCAACTGTAATACATATACATACACATAAATATATTCCGAACAGTGTTAATTTAATACAGTTTTATTTTTGTTTTTAGATGTTGGCAGCTATTTAACTAAAGTGAGAAGTGTTCTGAATCCGTCATAACCTATAAAACTACAATGTATAATATAAAACTTAAACAGAAATAAAGCAATATGATATTAAATACATGGTTTTTCTTAATTTGAACATTTTCAATATTTTTTATTACTAACACATTAATATAATAGTTATATGTATTTACAGGACTTTTTGAATTTTTCGCTAAAAATTTTTATTATATAAATTTATTCTTCTAGAACAATTAGAACGAGTGTAGAACAACCTGGAACGACTATTAGAATTTTTAAATTCCAAAAATGGGGTGCTAACTTTATGCAAGTAAGAATTTATAGATTTGATGATGGTCTCTAATAATAAGTTCAGAACATTTCTCAATTTAGTTAAGTAGTTAACATCTAGAAAAAAATATAAGCCAAAAACTAACACTGTTCGGAATAACCTAATGTATGTCCAATACTAGATATGCTTATTAGCGTATGAGGTTGCGCGATATCTGTGATATATTTTATTATTATTCTGAATTATAAATTCCCAAATGCGGAAAAACGAGCACACACATTTTAATGCATGATGTAAGTAATTTATATTTATTAATAGCATTTATATTTATAATTAAATAGCATATTCTATTCAATATGCTGAAAAGAGAGATATTAGGATATATAGAGAATAGCGAAGGAGGGGATAGTTTGACGACAAAATTCGCATTATCTTTCCACCGATATGTATATATATCGTCAAAGCAGACAATGCACATATCTCAATTTTTTAGCCTTGCGATCGAAGAAAGAAACCTCGATCGAAGATACTCTGCCGATTCATTCGTTTTCCTCGATTGGATCGATATTCCAAGGTCATCGGACTAATGTCATCGAAGCGTGGCGTTTTATGCGTTTACACTCTCTCTCTCCCCCGCGCTACATCACTTTAATCAAATCAAATTTTGCGATGTTATTATTACGTTTTTATTCTATTAAGATAATAGTTTCGCGAATCAAAATTAACAAGAAAAATTTAAAGATTTAGCTATATGTCAATAAATGTGGTGACTACGTATTTATATAATTGATCGTCCCGAACGCGAGATAATCTCTGTCAAAAATTGCGACACTTTTTCTATATATTGCATACACGAAGCGTAAAAAATTCTCGTATTTTGAAGTTTAATTAGAATGAACAAGAAAGTAATGAAAAACAGTTATTGTATAATAAAAAAACACTTTAAGAATATTAAAGAAAAAGAAAACAAAATTATATTGAAAGAACGATGACAGAACTCTCTCTCTCTCTCCCTCTTCCTTTCTCTTTCTCTCTCTTTCTCTCTCTCTCTCTCTCTCTCTCTCTATCCCAAAGCTTTCAGCCTTTAATAATTTCAGGTAGTCAGTGTTTTAACGTTGATTTGGAAAATTTCGTAAACGCGAAACAAGAAAAAAAGACAGAAAATTATAAAATTTTTGATTGTATTGTCGCGAGACAACTACTTTAAATTCGATCACACGGAAAATTGCATTGTATATATATCATGCTGATAAGATTTATATGTACATTGACAATTTTGCACTTGAGAAAGCTTTGAGATAGGAATTGGACTCGGCTAAAATTCCACGAAAGTCATCCCATTCAGTTCGATTTCATGCGAACGTATTGCGCATTCCAAGTCTGTCATTTCAAAATAAAAAGAAAACGTTATTAAACGCGCAAACAGAATCAGATGGTTTGGATTCGCCAAGAAATATCATTCCGTGTATTCAGATATAAAAGTAGTATTTTTTTTACATGTATACATTAGCGCGATAAATAGCGAATTGATTCCAAGTCTTGTCTTTTCATTGTCTAGCTACTGTGAAACAGTAGGGCGGTGTAAAACAGCTATGTTTAGAGACGAAAGTGCAGCTGGGACGCAGACCAAGTGTGAGAGCAACTAGCCTCGATCTAAATTTCATAAATCTTCACTAAGATCATTCGACGACTCGTCAAAAAATGATCATCGATCTCGCCTGACATGACACTGTTAGAACGTATGTCATCGTAATCACGACTGTTTGACACTTAGCGAAACTTGATAAGTGAGGCAACGAGGCGTCTACAGACCAATAAGATCGCGTTACTGTCGCCAGTCATAGCCTATAGTATTCGCGATACAAAAACAATCGAAGGTCAATCCTATATTTTCTCGTGAAGTACTTTTGGGTCTCTTTGATTCCCGAGATGCCACACGTGGCGCAAGGAGGCGAAGAGACAAGAAGACGAGCAAAAGCAAAGAAACGAAGTGGCGATACGAGGGAATGAAGTGAGGCGAGGCTGTGGTGAAGAGAAATGAGGTGAGATAAGATGAGGTGAGGTATGAGATAGATAAGGCGAGGTAAAGAGAAGCGAGATAGACGAGGAGGTGAGGTGAGGTGTATGAAATGAAGTGACGTGAGATGAAGCAAGGCGCGTTGTATGACTGTGTATGACGTAGCCCGCGGCATCATCAGATGATTCAAACGGAAGGATATGCGTACCTCTGCGATTGAATGGCCGAACCCGTACGGCAACCTTTATTTTATCCGTAGCCATGACTTTTGCACACCGGTAACGCGCGCACTTTTGTATCACACAATCACACGAGGAGAAACCGTTAGGCGCAGTTTTACGTGCACGTGATTACGTCGACCCTCGCACGATTCGCACGTATCGCTACATTATTATTATTATCAACCCATATCGTGAACTTGTCATTTTTCGAACGACACACTGCGTTTATACCGAACCCTCCGTGACACACTTCGCCATATTGCTTCAAGCCCGTCGTGCTCCAAACAACATCGGTCGTCTTATCGAAGCTATCGAATGAACATGTTTTCGGGAAACGCCGTTAGGAACGCTCGCGGTTCGATAAATACGTGACGTCATGAATGACATTTGATATATGTATATAGAGGGCGTAACACAAAAATCCATGTACGCCATTCGTCTCAACGAATTGTCCAGTTGAAACCAGGATATATATAATAGCGAATTTGGTTGGATGCACTAGTGCACACTGAATGCATATAAAGGTTTATCACATACAAGTTCACAATTACACAAGTAATTAAAAAAGGGAAATAATAGTAAAAGCTATTATTATCATTATTCATATTGAGCAACAATAATAATAGCTCTTACTATTATTAATTATTTTTCTTTTTAATTACTTGTGTCATTGACCTAGTTTACACCCGGTCATCCCGAAGTGAACTGGATTTAGGGATCGTTTACACTTGGATTGGTATTCATAGTCCGACCTTAGGCCAAATTCACACCTTAACAAAAAAGCAGAAGCCAATCAAAACTTGCGATGGTTAGTAAATTTGGGTGCTTTCCAGCAACGACAAAATACGACGCAGTGTATCATTCTATCTTCTTTCAATACCTGTGAATGACAAAGAATGATATACTGTGTCGTATTGTGTCGTTGTTGAAAATCACCCTTTATTACTATCAAGTTTACTATCTAGTAAGCTTACTATCAACCCGATTCTAATTGGTTTCTGCTTTTCTGCTTTCTACTTTTCTGTCAAAATGTGAATTCGGCCTTATATTTAAGATTCTCTTAAGCAGGATCTACAATAGGTGTAGTAAACTCTAAGCCTTAAGAAATTCACCAATCACAGTCAAGAATGGGGGGAATAATCGACTGTTATTAATGAATTTTTTGTTAGAGCTTACTACATCTATTGTAGACCCAGCCTTAAGTTTGAGCATAAACAGCCACGTAACCATTTGATTGGTTGACCGGGATCTTAAGTAAATCTCCGACCAGACTGAAGACGATCTTAAATATAAGATCGGCTATGAATATCAGTCTTGGATTCAATTAAGATTATCTTACTAAAGATAATTAGGATTATTTTAATATATTCACTTAAAAAAGTGCGGTTAGGTCTTCTTGCAGTTAATACATATTATATGTTGGTAACACTCGCTATATTTAGATCCAAAGCGTTTATACTACACTTATTTCAATCTTAGTTCGTGCTACTTCGCTGAGAAAAAAGGATTGAAGTAAATCGAAAATCGAAATTAATCCGTTTACACCCTAGAAATTTCACTTCGCTCCAGAGTGAATCAGGATTGGACGGCTGGATGTAAACTAGGTCATAGACTGCGTTCTCTTTGACGCTTTCAGCGCTATAAGGGCGAGTTTCCATTGAGCGTGTATGCGTCGCGTCAACGAATTAACCAATCAATACATCCCATTGTCAGCCATTTTATTATAATGGCTGACGAGACGTGTGACGCGCTCAGTGGAAACTCGCCCTAAGGCGCGTTCTACAATACGTCGTATGTCGCAGTCGGATGTTAGAACGTAAACGATTGTCCAATGCAGAAATTTTGTTTTCGAAAAAGAAATTTCCTCATTGGACATTTGCTTACATTTCGACTGCGACATACGACGTATTGTAGAATCGGCCTAAGCATTTTCTGTCTTCGTTGCACATCAAATATCAAACGAAGGCCTGGTCTACAATAAGTCGTATGTCGCAGTCAAGCACGTACTTTATCATACTTTACAACTTGTAAATTAATATCATTTTATAAATAAATAATACCTATCTAATATATCCTTGTGGTATTCTTGTTATTATATAATTCCTTAAATAATTCTTGTTTGTTAATTTCTTTTATCTTCACTCCTACAATTCACTTTTACAATACACTTCACAACTACAATTAAAAAAACTTGTTAATTAAATTTTGTCAGTTGACGTCATGATGAATAATATATTAAATATATATATTATACTTATTACAAATAAATTAACCGGTCATAAATGTAGAAAATATATTCACATCGCAAACAATTTACAAGAAATATAATTTTTCAATAATAATATGACAGCTGCTTCAACAAATTAATAGAATTTTTGCGATTTTTGCCCATAGAACATAAAACATAGAACACAGAATGCTTCCCGCTAGTGTTCATCAGAAAAGCGAAAGATGATTGGCTGCCGTGTCGACTTCCGTCGCGCGTAATGCGTCGACGCACTTTGATTAAAGCCCTAATACTTTGCGCATGCGCACTAATTATAAAATTATTTATTGCAAATAATAAAGAAATTATTAACTCACAAACAATTATATTGATATATTTGTAAATCACAAACGATTTCCTATCATTTATAATTGTTAATTATTACAAAATCTGTTTATTATATATGATAATAAACAATAATAATAATAAATATAATTATATATATATAATTATAATTATATATATATAAATATATATAATATATTATATTATATACATAACTATAATTATATATTTCTATGCAAAACTGTGTGCTTCCCGCTTTAGTATAGAAAATGCATATGCGTAAAACGGAACGCACCTTAGCTTTACTAGAGAAAACTATGAAAACGAACGTAGCCATATTTTAACTTGTGATACGGGTTATGTTAGATGTGTACGCTATGTAAATTTGGCGGTATCTTAAAACTTCAAGAGTTACAAAACTTATAAATTTATTTATTACTTTTCGATTAGTCGATTAGTATAATGTGTAAGTAGAAAAATGAGTACTATAAAATATAAAGGAATACTATATAGACTGGTTTTGAAAAAAGAAATATTAACTTCATGTGTATTTATGTGGTTTTATTTATGAAATTAAACAGTGAAATTGGAAATGGTCATGATTTATTTATTTTTCTTTGATATTACAGGAATTTAATAAAAAATGATTGTCAAATTTGAAAAGATAATAAGCTGTTCCTCGGAACATGCTATGTATCCTGCTGCCAATCTTCTACAATGTAATTCAGAAAATTGGAAGGCCACATGGCGGTGCGCCAAACCAGGAGAAATGTTGGCCCATGTGATATTTCAACTTGTTGAACCCTCTTACATCACAGGAGTTGATATTGGCAATTTTCAGAGTTGCGTGGTAATTGTCACTGGATCTACATCATCTGAACCTGACAATTGGATACTTATAGTGAATCACAAGTTTATGACAAATGATGAAGCTGCAAACAATAAGTTTAAGGATCAAGTACAATTATTTACGAAAAGAGAATTGAATCCAGATACTTTGAAAATTAAATTTGATCGAATCAAAGTCACTTGTATGCAATCGGCAAATTTAAAAGTTTTATTTGGACTATCATATATCATTTTAAGATCAGATCCAACAGTTGATTTAGGTTTAGATGTATTTGGCAAATTCAAATTGAAACAACCACATGTCATTAAGACACCGATGGAAATGATGAAAGAGAGAATTCTCAACAAAATGGAAAATAAAAAGACAGATTATAAGGAAGAGATACAAGAACAAATAAAAAAGAACTCGATGGACAATTTTGCTAAATGTCAAGAAAAGCAAAAACCTATGAAGAGACCATTATTAGAAAAGTTAGAGACTGGAAAAGCTGATGAAGTTTTTGGAAAAAATGATAAGACTCAGTTACAAGATTTTAAAACGAATAAAACGCCTATTAAAAATATCAAAAATGTATCAAATGATAAAACAGTTGTTACAACTCCTTTTGGAGACGTTGTACCTATGACGACCATTAATACTGACAAAAATGATACAAAAGATGCTTCTCAGGATTCTCATAAGAAACGTCCTTTAAATAAATTAGAGGACTTATTAAACACACAATATTGCGAAAAGAAAAAACAGAAATGCTCCAATTGTTGCAAGAATTCTCAAGATCAGCTGTGTAAAACTTGTCAACGATTACCTCAGTGTACAACTATTGAAAATACTAATTTGAAACCAACTGTTTTTATAAAACCAAAAAAACGATTTAAAGAATTGTTCAGTGGTACAACATTCTCCCTCAGTGGATATGTTAATCCACAGAGAGATGAAATTAGAAGAAAAGCTCTTAGTATGGGTGCCAGATACATACCTGATCCAAATACAACTAATAAAAAATGTACTTATTTGATCTGTGCTTTTAAAAATACACCAAAATATCAGCAATTCAAAGATCATACAAAAATTGTCTCTCATGTCTTTATCGAGGAGTGTTTTGATAAAAAGATAAGGTATAATATCATCATATTCGTGCATTTTTATTATGATTTTTGTAAAAGTATAAAAAAATTTGATGTATTTTATGCTTTATAGGTTTCCTTGGAGGCGATATGCTTTAGATCAAAAGAATAAATTGCAAGCTGAAAGTGAAGAAGAAATCGATGGTAATCAATCGGAATCTATATATGATATGGATACTGATGCTGATTCCGATTATTAATTTTTTAATTCTACTATATTTGACTTCTTTTTCAACATAGTTATATTTCGATAATTGTTACTAAAGTATTTAATTAAATATATTTTATGTATACATATCTGTATTTTTTATTATTCTCTGTCTTCTTTTCGATATATATAAGTAAAATTTTGTAAATACACTAATCAAATACAAAAATAATTTTATAATTTTATAAAAATTTGATATAACATCAAAACTAATTTAGAATTATATCCAATACTGGTGAGAAACAATTGCCATAAATTTTAATCAACAGTTCAGTTTATTGTGAGATTTTTATCATTGAATTTTTTGTTTTTTTCAACATTGAAAATGTGTTTTTATACTTCAGAAAGTTATGTTAAAAATATGTTCAAAGATGCATGAAATCGAAGAAAAAAATAAGAAATTTTTTTGTCATTAACATTTATGAAAAAAATATATTTGAGATATAGCCTATAATCCATGATGTTAACTATATCTGTTCAAATCAAGTTGTAGTTAACTTTACAATTTAACAATTAAAGACTATATAATCTTCGTAACTTGAAATGCATGTTATAAAAATTGATATAAATATAAAAAAACTTGTTTTATTAGATTTTTACGCAATATTCTTGGTGAGAAGAAATTATCATAAATTATCTTTTAATTCTTATTATTGGACCTTTCGGATGGCGTCAAAATTTGAAAATTTGAACAATGCGATCACATGGCTACATTTTCTTCTATATATAAATATTTAATAAGGAAAAAAAATTTACTTTTTTCTTCGATTTTATATGAACCTTCAGATATATCTTTAACATAATTTCTGAAGTATAAGAAGACATTTCGGGTTGCGTCCGCCATCTTATTGACAGTTTAGCGATATTTGACACCTATATACAGAGTGTCACTTAATTGGCGCTCAATATTTATATAGCGATATTCCTCGTGGAAAACTGAGTCGAAAAGTCGTGTACCATTTTTTTTCTGTAAGGCATAATAAAGTAGTAATTATTCAGTAACGTTAATACGTTACTAATAATAAAGTAGTAATTATTATGCCTTGCAGAAAAAAATGATACAGGACTTTTCGACTCAGTTTTCCACGAGGAATATATCGCTATAAATATTGAGCGCCAATTAACTGACACCCTGTATAGCTATATCTATTGCAGTTAACTTCATGCGTAAAAGTTAAAAAAAAAATTAAAACTATATATAACTGACGGAAAAGTTTTTAATGGCAGATTCCTGATATTATTTGGAGATGATTTTTCCTTATTAGTGAAAAAATGTTGAGGGAGGCCATCATATCTCTGGGACACCAGTAACTATACATATTATAAAATTTAGTATATAAAAAAACTAATTGTTTTAAAATGATATGCGCAATATTCTTAGTAAGAAGAATAAAATTTATATTGTGACAATTTCTTCTTACCAAGAATATTATTGCATATAATTCTAAAATAAATTTTTTTATATTCAATTTTTGTTAACTTTTAATCGCGCGAAGTTAGCTGCAACTTGATTATATATATTGAATCAGTAATTTTCTTCTTACCAAGAATATTATATGTATATAATTCTAAAATAAGTTTTTTATATTATATCAAATTTTATAATATGTACTTAAATAAAGTTACAAAAAATATATATATAATCTTCAATTTTTGTTAACTTTCAATCGCGCGAAGTTATAGCTGCAACTTGAATAGGTGGTTAATAACATCAGTAATGGCGTGTGCTCGTCAAAAATTTGCAAGCTAATGCAATCAATTCGCTGAATTGTCAGGATGGCGGACGCAGCCAACACATTTGGCTTCGAACTTTTGCAAAAAGTGCATCACGATGAAATTCTTAAAAAGGAAGACGTAATAATCTTATTTATACATTGGTATTTAGCAAAGTGTGGATTTCGGTGCATTGGCATCGGAGATGAAGTAAGCCCCATTTAAATAATTTGCAACGTATTGCGTCACGTTTTGCAATAATATAGCGAAACTTTACATACATTTTATGTTTTTTCGTCATCCTTTGTAATATTTCATATTGCGATGTTGTTACAAATTCTAACCTGTAATGAACTCGTATAATATATTTTTTCAATTTGTTTTATATATTTTAATCAAATAAAAAGGAAAAATATATATATGTATACACTATATATCGGAATGTTTCTGTGTATTTATATTTATTAATATTTATTACTTTACAATTAATATTCATTTTATTTAAAATTATTTTAAATATAACATTCACAGATTTATATTTTTTTAGAAAACTTTTAATGCATCAGAGAAAGGATCTGAATTACTCCCAAAAGATTGGAACTCCAGTTTTAATTATACATTACGTTATATTAAGCATGAAAAATTATATATACTACTTGGAATCAAATCGGATATGGATTTACTATTAAATTTGCTGGTAATTTATGCTATTTAAGTTAAATTTCAAAGATAATTAATTATTACAAAAAATGCAACAATTGTAAGAAATTTACCATATTATATTTGATATTATATTTTCATAGAGATATCATGATGATGCTATTTCCAACATTCAGTTTCCTATTGAGGAAACTGTGTCTGCATTACATGGACCTTTAGAAACTGTGATACCATCATATCGCACCATTTTATATAGCGTACAAAAGGATTTTGTAGGCACGCTATATGGAAATACTAAAGAAGAAACAACTCAAACAACTGAAACAAATGAAGCTTCAACACGTAGAGATCCTGATCCACTGCGAGTAGAATCTAATCGACCAGTGCATCGGTAATTAGACATCAATTCAATTGTGTGTGCATATTTGTGCAATTTTTTTTATATCAATATAAAATTCTTAAATTTAAAAAAAAATTGATTATGTTATGCTTAAAGTAGATTTAATATGATTACATTCAGTAATATATTGTACAATATACATATTATCCTTTCTTATGTTTTGCATAGATTTTATTTGATATTAAAGTGTAACTGAAAATAGTTTAAGTATTGAATTTTACATAAGATAATTGTAGCCTCTTTATTTTTTCTATTTATGTATTCTATTTTAATGAGTCTATAATTTTTTTTCTATATGTTTATTGATTATTATATGTAACATTTAACGTGATTTATTTGTCTGTAAATATACAGTTTGCCTGAGCATGATCCTGCAAGAGTAGGAATCCGAGACCTTGATCCGTTTGGACAAGGTGGTGGAATGATATTCGATCCGTTTAGTAGTCGTCCCCCAATTGGACGCTTACCAAGTGGTCTAGGAGTACCTGGAAGATTGCCACCGTATGTCGCATATATTGTATAATACTACGCATTTTCCAGTCGTAAGAATCAATTGTTAATTTAGATATTATATTGCAGAGGTGCGATACCACCCGGCGCAAGATTCGATCCCTTTGGTCCACCTGATTTGGATCCACTGAGACCTCTTCGTCGTAGACCCGATGACGATCACTTTCCCCCTCCAGGATTCGACATGTTTAATTAATTTTACATTTAAACGTGTATATGTATTGTTAAGGAAAACTTTGAACTTGGAAAAAAAAATTAAAAGAGAAACAAGAGAGTACTTCTGTATAATAGAACTAATATAACGTTTGCAATATAATGTTTTTTTTATATTTTTATTTAAGGGGCCTGTGCATCATAGAGAAAATATTAGAAATAGGGATTATTTTAAAATAAAATCGAAGACTTTAATATAAAAAAAATTTAGGTATAGGGACTAGTAAGGACTAATAAATTAGTAGTAAGAGCTCTTTACATTTGTATTTGTATATCAGTTTTTTCGATTTTATTATTTTAAAGTAATTCCTATTCCTAATATTTAATATTTATTCCTCTATTGTGCGCAGGGCTTAAGGCACTTCGCCGCGGCTATCTCAGATTCTGACGTCAGAGGCGAGAAAGCACACGTTGAAAATTCTTAAATGCCATTTTTAAATGAAGATATTTCGAAATTGCATCTAAGAATTTTTAGCGTATTTTTTCTCGCCCCTGACGTCACAATTCCAATATGGTCGGGGTCAGAAGCCTTAAAAACAACACTAAACTTAGGAAACAAAAATTAAAAGATAAATAAGAGAGTTAAACACTTCTCTATGATAGAACTAATACATCGTATTATATTATAATATTACGTCTTTTTTACGATAAATAATATTCTTTTGTATATTGAAAAAGATAGAATCATTTGCCTAGAATAAAGTTAGATCAGAGTTTAAGAGAAATGTGTTCTCTTTCTTTTCACAAAACAATTTTCTTTTTTTTTATTTTATTATTATTGATATTGTTTACAACTTGTAACTTAAACAAAATAATTTTGCTTTGTTTAATTTCATTGAAGGCAACTGTATATAATATGATGGGTAGAGGAAATTGCAATTAGAAATTAAATAGTAATCTTTATTTAAATTGCGCTAACTCGTTATTTTTTATTTTGTTGCTTAATCAATTTGTAGAGGGAGTGATTGTTCTTATTTTATTATGCCGGTTCAAAATAGAGGATTTCTTTCCTATCTAAATTGTTCTTGCTTCAAATATATTCACATTAGACAAATTGTTAAACGCAAGAGGTCTTTATCGATACATAAAATTATTGTATCAATTAGATATTCACATAAAGCTATTTAAAAAAAGTTATTTTAACTATGTAATTGCATTTGTTTCTTCGAATAATATTAATTTTCGCAGCAGGTCGATTCATTTCTTCGAGAAATTTTAAAACATTCCATATTTTATATGTAAGTACGCAGTTATTGCACAGTGGAACGATTTTACATGTAATTGACATGTTACATGTAATTGAACATTTAATTTTAAGCAAAACAACAATATAAGTGACCTTTTACATAGAACTGTAAACTTGTAAAGAGAAAAATCATATCACAGTATACATAAAAAAAACATTTTGTACTATAATAGCAATTTATTTATACATCTGAAGAAGTGAATCGATGTGCAAAAATAAGTAACTAAACAATGAAAATCATATATATTGGTAACTTTTTTCAAGATCATATCTATTTTGTCACAAAGGTTGACGTGTCTTTAGAAAAAAATTTTTTTAAATATATATATATATGTATGTGTATATATATATATATATATATATATATATATATATATATATATATATATATATATATATATATATGTATGTATGTATATATATATATATGTGTGTATATATATATGTCCAATTATCTTAATTATTATAATTGAACTAGGATTAAATTATATATAAAAGTAATATACTTTTGCATCTAGGGTTGGATCATTTACTTTTATGAATAAACCCTCGTCCCATCCTCTGATAAAAAATATTGCAGTTTTCAATATTACAAAAAAAGATGCACCAGGTTCAAATTTCAATCCGAGTCTGCGTGAAGTCGTAGTGAATGTATCCTATTGTCGCTCGTTAAATAATTGCGTTTGAGAAATGAAATTATTCTCTCTAGCTAGTTAAATAATAGATTCATCATTAATCGATTGTTGTGTCAACCGTACCTTGTCTTTGGAATAAGAGATACAGCATATATATATGTGGGATCGTCCAAGTATAGCAATTAAGCTTGGATGGATGAAGGTATTTGATACACATTAATCGGACTCGATTCATTGTTCAAAGCAAGTCGGTTTAGAAACAAAGACGGCATAACAAGAAGACAATGAATAAAGACAAGAAAAAAGAAACAGCGTATATACATTGAAAAAACGTACATTCACATGAAATCAGCAGACGCGCGTGAAATGTGTTCTAAGTATATTGTATTTGTTATTATTTTACGAACGAATTTTTTTTCTTCTATCCTTTGAACACAGTTTAGTGTGGCGACGTAGCATCACCGACAATTTTACCAAAATATATATAGAAGACGACAATGACACACTTACATAAAATGCTCGTATCAGATTGAAAAATCTATTTTTCTAACTAAAAAGTTAGATATGCAAGGATGCTTTTGGTGAAATTGCCGTTTGAGCTACGATAAATGTGATATACAGCTCTGAAAAGTGTGATTTACTTCACATTAGTTTTTTTCATTATTCATCTTTCAAGTTAACGCAGATTCCAAGTCCAATAAGAGTTAAGAACATCCATCAGCAAATACGGCATGCCATTGGAAATGCAACGCAATATGTTTTTTCTTTTTATGTTAAAAATGTTCAAATGTTATGTAATTCATGTTTCATATTAAACATTTGTGCGGCAAGTGTATATCAAAATATTCTAATAGTAATTGCAGGCATTAACCGCTTTTATTAATTAGAATTAATATTAGTTATAATTAATATAATTTCGCAATGAGAAAAAAAATGTATATATATCTAAATTCAATACATCGTAATATTATATTTTATAACTGCAATGTTAAAATAGTTTACTCTTTTATCATCGTTATCTTTTACTTTAGTGTTTCCTTCCGATTCATCGCAGAAATTATTCTTATATTTAATATTTCATAATCTTATATATTGCAGAGTTGTGACTAATATATTGTATAAAAAACATCTTTTTATTCTATTTTTGCATTTTGCAGAAAATGTATATAAAATCTTGTTAAAGAACAGTACATTTGCACATAAGGCAGATAGCTTTTTTAAATATATATTTAGTTTAAAAAGAAATGAAAATTCTAATTTATACACATCTTTAGACTTTATAAAGAAAAGTTTTTACTTTTTTTATAGCACTCTTATTATTTTTATTCTGCAGCTTACAATCACTCAGTGTAGAAATTTTCTAAGTTACATCTGATAAAAATCCAATAAATTGTAAAAGTATTCTATATATTCTCTCGCTCTATATATTTCAGAAACGTAATATAATTTGTCATCTCGATGAAATGCTAACAAATTGATAATGTATTACTATAAATGTTATATTTTTTATCTTTTGTTATATCAAGAAAGTAAGTAAAGACGTATCACACAATAAAATTTCCACACATATATGACTAATAGCTTATAATTTAGAAATCACTAAGGCTGAATGACAATAATGTAGTCGATTTTCAAACGTTTTAAAAAAGTTATTACGATTCGAAGGCTTAATTTTTGTCCCCATTATGTATTTAATATCGATCAAGTATCAAAAATAAGTATACGATTTTTATAAAAGGAACCAGCAACAATTTGAAGCTATATTCACATGTTAATTACTTGCCTCAGGAATTTAAAATTAGAGATTAGTGCGAAAAAAGTGCCTCAAAGTTTATTGACATTTATCACGTTTGCATTTCCATTGATAGGCCATTCAGAACAGATTTGCTACAATATGCCACTTGTCTTCAGGCGCAAAAGCCTATACATTTATATCAATCGGTATGTGAATTAGTGACTTTTTTCTTCCCATCTTTTCTTGTTTTTGTTTTTCTTGAAAAATTCTTTGATCTATTGGATGCAACAGGAATTTTTTTGTCCATTCTTGAGCTTCAATCGAGACTTGGGACGATACTTTTCAAGAAAAGTCAACTGCTTTGCGTTTATGGCGCCTCGTCTTTTCCTAAAACAGAGAAAAGAGAATTACAAATCACAGTTCAATTATTAGGTGGTAAACTTAATTCTTGCCGCTTTTTTTTCGTCTCAAAAATTGATTTGTTTCGAAGGGAATATGAATAAACCTTCAAAGTAATTTCTTCCATTTTCTACTACTTTTTCCCATCTCTCCAGCAACAAGGCAATCCCACGACGGTAGAATGCGATGTTTTTCGAGGCGATCCATTCCTCCACCCATTCTTGGACTTCTTCGTAACTGGAGAAGTGTGTCCGTAAGTGCGTGTTGCATCGATTGGAAGAGATGGTTATCCAACGGTGCCAAGTCTGGAGAGTACGCTGGATGCGGGAGGATTTTCCATTCAAACTCTAGAAGTATCTGGCTCTCGCTTTTCGCAACACGCGGTCGAGCGTTACACGCAAAAGAATGACTTTGCGTCGATTGCTGGCCATGGATAGTCTTTTTTGCATTATCTCGTCATTCAATCGACATAATTGCTGTTGGTTAGCGATCAGTTGTAACGATTTCATTTGGACGCAAGAGCTCGTAATACAGTACACCCTCCTGGTCCTAGCAGATGCAGAGCAAGGTCTTATTGCTTTTCGGCGTTAAAGTGGATGGTTGATCGGGGTCCACCGATGATTTTCTCCGCTTGGGATTATCAAAATAAATCCATTTCTCATCGCCAGTTACGATACGCCGCAAAAATACGCTTTTTCTTTCTTCTTTGTTTGGCGAGCAAAGAAATCGCGATAGACAAACAATTCAAAATGGCATTTTTTGACAACTCACGATGGTAGTCATCCCTTCCTTATGAATTTTTTCCATGGCATGAGACGGCCATCGGAATAACATTTAACGCTTTCGATAACTATAAAAGCGTTTGTGCTGGATTCTTATCGAGCAATTCTTGCATCACATCTTCAAATTTTTCGGCTGTCCGGGACGTTCTTTGTCTCTCACGTTAAAATCATTTTTTCGAAAGCGTTCAAATCAAACTCTATGTTCTTTCTGATGAAGTTTCATCACCATACACTTCGGATAATAAGCGATGCGTTTGAGTTACAATTTTCTTAAGGTCAAAATAGTGAAGAAGCACATGTCGGAAAAACAACTTATCGCGGTTCATTTTCGATCAACTGAAAAATTTCTTTGGCGTTGAGAAATTTAACTTGCAAGGACCGAATCACTTTTAGCAATATTTAAACTACAAAAGACATGCGACTTCACCGTCAAAACTCGCTAGCGTTGAAACCGGCACCCTCTAATAGCGAGCGGCAAGAATTAAGTTTACTACCAATATATATATATATATATATCCTGAAGCCGTCTTATTTTACCGACAAAATGATCATTTTTGTGCACGGTTTTTAACATAAAATCGATAGGTTTCCGCTTGTGTTTATATGTACTTTAATCGTGGAAAAGCATTTATTATTCTATTTAACTAATAAAAAGAAAAGCGTGTACAAAAATGATCGTTTTGTCGGTAAAATAAGACAACTTCGTCTTAAACAAACGAAGACTTATGAAGATCAGACTTACTCTCTAATAAGGGCAACAGCATCTTCAAACTTGAGCCCGAGTTCAATGAGAGCTATTGCAACCAAAACCGGTGCTCTACCGAGACCTGCGACGCAATGTACCGCCACACATGCGTCAGGCGACTCTCGGAATCGGTATTTTAGCAGTTCGAACCATTCATCCACTACCTAGAAATTGTTATAGAGAGAATAGATTTACATTTTTTGTCTCTTCGTTTATAACGTCTAAAGGATGTGAGAGATTCCTTACCTCATTTGGTGGAAATGTACCGTCATCGAATACCAAATCTATCACATTGATCCCTTCCGATTTGAGTTCCTCGACTTTGTACGTTGGTTCGCAAACTCTGACCACCTCCTTTACATTATGCTTTTTCAGTTCCTATTGAAGACATGCACAACAGTTCGCATTAAATAACTAATTGTAAGAGAATAAAATATAAATAAATTGAAAAAATGAAGTATACATACAAATTCAGGTATAAAAAAAATTAAAAAAAAGCGAAACATCTTTTTTTACACTTGAATAAGAGAATGAAGTTAAGAATTCTAAGAGGATCTATTTTTAGGGGAGAGTTTTGCATATATACTAACTTGAATAAAGGTATGGATGGTTTGATCATTGGGCCGATCAGTAATGAGGAACTTCATATTTTTGTATTCAATCTCGGCGGGCGCCGGTCTGATATCCTTCACCCTCATGTTGCTCATTTCCTCCTTAAGATGGAGAGATGGTTGTATTATCTTCTTTCTTTTATTGTTTTTAACTCTCTTAAAAGATCTTATATAACTTGTCTTGTAAAGTCTCTCACATACGTGTGCCACACTATACGAAGCGACAAAGGCTGGATTTGACAACTTAGCCCATTAAATGTCAGTCTTATAAAGTTGTTTCTCATTTAACTAATAGAATATCTTATTTTTTTACAGAGGACAGAACCACGGGTTTACATGTAGATCTTAGGAAGGGTTGTCGGGGTGCGAACTTCGCCGAAAGAGTAAGGGCTACGTTACATTAGGCGGTGTTGATATGCGCTTGATCCTTCCTACTCTTGAGACTTTTCAACTAGAATTCGCGGAAGATTACCTGAAATTTTAGTATGTAAGTTCAAATTTATTTCCGTCATAATGCAAGCGTTGCAGTTCATATTAAAAATTAAGGTTACCTATTTGGCACTGGGTACTCCAGTTGCGCTCAGTATCTACGATGCATCTACTAATGTAAATTAATAATTTCTATTAAATTCTTCTATGTCTTGCGTGATGACTAGTCGATGATTTTTTTTCTGGCTTCCCCGGTGCGTAATTAATTCTTCTACTTTTAATATCCACTCTTTTCCACCCTCCTCAAGATGTTTCTACCCTTCTTTCTTCTCTTTGCTCTAAGAATATCTAATAATTGTCAGGGAGTATGGGGCGTGTCTCTCTATTTGTGTTGAGCCTGGCAATACTCTGCGCTATCCAACTGAAACTCCATGTATGTGAGGATGCACTCACCAGGAAACTGCAACAAAAGAGAGAAAAAGAGATGATCAATTATTTGATTAAATAATATAAAATTACTATCCTTAATGTAACTCATACTCTTGTCGTTCTTGCGCAAATTGACAATTGCACAAACTGTCACGATAATAGCCAAACTACGCCTGGTATATCAACTTTCGAGTATGTTACTTTGACTTAAGAATATTTACTTTGTGCAATGTAGTGTAAAGCGTATGTAGAATGTCCCGTTCCATTTTGACTTTTGCAATTGATATTTCTCGAAAACTAAGGCTTCCATCGAAAAATTTCATACAAAAGTTATAGGATTTCGAAAAGGACGTAAGCATAGTTTTGTTCCAAGTGGAGGCATTTTTTAGATCAGTATTGTTATTTTTGTAAACAAAACCATTATTTCTTACATATATCCTAGATTTCTAGTAATATTTGGCGTAAAAAAATGTTAAAGTGGAATAGTTGAAAAATGAATGGTTTACGAGATTTATCTCAATATTTTATTTATTTATCTCATAATGTGTCCCATTATTTAATGCAGAAAATTATTAAGGTAAGACTATCGAGAAATAATATTATAAGATATTTTTTATCAAAATAGTCAAAATAAAGCATATCTCATAATTCTGTTTAAAAAAGTAAATCTCGTAAAAATCTCAAAAATACCTCCATCTAAAATAAAACTATGCTTACAAGATGTCTCCCTCAAAATTCTACAACTTTTGTATAAAACATTTTTCGACAGAAACCTTATTTTTCGAGAAATCTCAATGCAAAAGTTAAAATGGAACACCCTGTATACAATTTATTAATTTCTCTTTTTATTTCGATAATTATTCGTAAAAAAAAAAATAATTTAGTTTTGTTTCTTGATAAATCGAAGGTTATCGCAATTGAAGAAATCATAGTTGAAGAAATCGAAATTAAAGCGATAAATAATATAATCGACGCACGCACATGTATTATGACAAAAAAGATACCAAAATAGTTTTTAATGGAAAATGCATCGCCACACATACACACACACAACATGCGCACGTGCACATGACATAGATCGCAATTCCTAGTCGTTCTATGCCAAGCTTGCGTGTAAATTGACCTCTCGGTCTTTCGCCGCGATTGATTTGCGAAAGCTCCCCTTTTGCGTAACAAACGGTTGCCATTATGACGTGAGCAACAACTGATTGACGGGAAGAAGAAGCATGATGACCGATCGACATTCAGACATATGCACGAGAATAACCGAAATAATTGGCAGGTGAAAAGAAGGGCGAGGAAAAGGAAGAGAGGGCAGCGAGCTTCGTGAAACGTCGCCAAGGCCAAATCTCTATATCTCTATAATGATGTCGTTACAGACCTGATTTTATTTCTTTAGCATGATATGCCATTTGATTATACCTTATATGTATACTGTGAGAATAGCTGCTTTAATTTCTAAATAATAGGTTGCTTAGAAACGTGTAATTCCATATCAGGTCAGTCAAGTTGAAAGATGCTACAAATGTAGGTTAAAAAAATTAGGATCTCATTAAAAAGCTTCTTTATTTCACCTTGATATCTCCATTCGAAGATCTAACCAATAGCAAATCAATAGCACCATTATTAAGTTTTCAAAATTTTATTAATAAGGTTAATTGGAGATTTCTTATTTTCATTTTGTACTCAATTGATTAGATCATTACGAAATATGACTCAATATGCGATTATTTGCAAATAAAAGTACAAGCAATAGAGAATAAAAGATATTCATTAATAGAAACAATATTTATTGTTATCCATATCTATCTGCTTCTGTTGATGCATGCATATTTTTATTCTCTGTTCTTATTATCTATACTTTTGTATTGTGCATTTTGTATAGGCCTAATATTTAATATTTGTTCCTATTCCCAATATTTTTTCTATTGTGCGCAGAGCCTTAAAAATCCTTAACCAGAGATTAGACAAAGCGTTTTGACTCTCTTCGCCTGGGATATAACCGAAAATGTGAAAAAGGTACATAGCTAACAAAAAGACGTCCTAATCTAAACAGTCTGTCAAAATGACCTTAGTCAAACCAGAGATTAGACAAAGCGTTTTGGCTCTCTTCGCCTGGGATATAACTGGAAATGTGAAAAAGGTACATAGCTAACAAAAAGACGTCCTAATCTAAACAGTCTGTCAAAATGACCTCAGTCAACAATTAAAATAAATCGTTACCAAAAAACATCCGGTTTTATCCTATGAAGGCATATTATCCGATATTTGATTAAGGATCTCTAAAGAATTTGACTGACCTGACAGAGGAATAGGAATATAAAAGGACTATATCGTTAATAATAGTATAGTATTTCCATGTTGTTTTATGTGCTCTCGAATATGCGCTTACGATACGATTGTCATCACAGAAATCTGCTCTTTCTCCTTTCAGCAAATGAAATACAATAGAGACTTTACTTTTTGAAAATTATCGCATAAATCTTTCACCTGACTTGGCAAAAAGTGAGACAACAATAACTGAGAGAGAAAAGAAAACAATCAGCAAAAGTGTTGCCAGATGTTGACCAGATGATCAGGTGAGGCTTTCGAGGCTTTATTCGATCAAGAAATGAAGATGACTCACTGTCATAAAATAAAGCAAAGAAATATTTCAATATTTACGAACGAGATCTCAAAACTCATTCGGCAAACCTACTTAAGCTGTATTATCGTACAGACTTGTTAGGATAGCATTAAAATGTCTAGAAACCCAATTTGTGTGTCTAGAAACGCAATATATGTTTCTACTTTATTAATTATAGACAACATTAATGATCTTTTGAGAATCCATTTTTCGATATGTTTTAATATAATCTAGATGTAAAAATTAGTGTTTCATTAAAAATATGAAATTTATTTTTATTTCAGCTTGACATCCCCACTTGAAGGTCAAATACCAATAGTAAGTATCACTGTACACATCTCCGTTGAAACTTATAACTTTTGTCAGAAATGTTTATTTTGTTTTATTTTTATATATTAATTTTAAATATATTTATTTATTTTTACATTATTTAAACATTTCAATTTAAATGCTGCATCATTTCATATACTTTTTTCCTCCTCTCCTAAGAAAAAAATATAGAGTATTAACACGCAATAAGAGGCGAATGTTCAGATTCTCCACGAATATCATTAAAAGCACATACATTTTAACATTTATATTATTATAATTATAAACGTTAACATTGATATAATTATATCACCAAATGTTTTCGCAATAGATTCACAGCAACACAGGGGATTGCAGAACTATATTTCACTGTAAGATGGCAAGTGTCTTGCGTAATGTTACTGCAATTATTATTATTGCATGATTGCACTACGCGATGTTGTCAAATGTCTCTTCTGAAGGATCGTAATGAAACATCAATTAACTATTGAATGCAAAGTACTTGTACTAATTGTAGAATTGTTGTATAAATATGTAATATAGGAGAAGGGCATATTTCTAATTCTAAGATTTGATGATAAAAAAAAATAAATAAAACAAGATCTATATAACAGTCTAGTTTTTTATGTATGTTTCTTGTATAGCAATGACTAAAGATTTATTGGGATTAATAAAAAAGTAGATACGCGCAATTGGGATTAAATACAATCAATTACTTTTCCATTCTTGTCAATGACCATTATTTTCTTATATATGTATACTATATAAATTATATAAGCACACATGTGTATAAAGATTTTACATATAAAAAGTCAGACCAATATCTTAATATTGAAACATTGTCGCAATCCTATTGGAATTTTGCACTTCCATGTTTATACGTACAATGTTTCTTGTATAGTATAATTTGCAAGATTGTAAGCAAATAACCAATCAATAATATTCTAATGAAGGTGAAAGATTTCTGCACTATATTCAAGAAAATTCACGTGATCGGAACTAATAACTTGAAATACTTGGAACATCCATCATTGCAGAATCATCAGAGTGTCACAAGACTGACGACGCGTGTGGGTTAATGCAGTAAACAAAATTCTATTTACGTTGTAGTTACGTCGCGGACATTTGAGGAACGATCTTCGCGAAGACACGAGGCGACAAAAATCGCTCGCGCCGATCATTCATCTATTAATAGAACGCAATGGAAATTTTCGCGGAGAAGAAAATGAATATACGTTATCTATACATGCTAAGCATGTATTTTTCTTTAATATCTGATTCAATAATTGAATGCGATGTAAAATGTTTGCGGATGATCTATTCTTTAACGTGTGTGTGTGTGTCTCCAGTTACACTATAAAAATATATATATATATGTGTGTATATGCGGGACAAAGCGAAAAAAATCACGAGTTAGAAATCAGAGCAGATATACAATATGCGAATGATGAGTGTACGACATAAGAATTTGCGCATCCGCTAAAAACAGTTATTTTTGCGCAGAAAAAAGTTTCAAACAATCGACGCTTTTTATCAGTAGTAAAAATTAAATTACGAGTGTCAAATTTTGTATAGACAAGCGAAAACATACAGTGCGTGTTGTGTGATCAGTTTTTTTTTTTTTTAGAATTTTAAATATCATTTTTTATTTATTAAAGAACGGCTATATAAGTGCGCGCATTCGATATTTCTTCGCATTGCTTGATTCACTTTACCTTACATTCATTTGACGAGAAAAGAAATCTGCAAGGTCACGGAAGCGTTCTTCGAGATAATTATAATCTTAAATGTGAAACAATGTCGTCACGCGATCAGAAATTGGTAGCAACGTGACGATATCACCGCACCACATCACCAAGAAAAAGTCACATTTTAATGTTGCGCGTACACTTTTGCGAAAGTTACCACCTCAAAGTTCGCGGTTCAGAATGCAACAAGATGGTTGCGTACACATTCTTCTCTCCGCACCGATGTTCGTCAAAATGCCGCGTGTTTTAAGCTTTCAATAAGTGCGGTTTATAAAGCGCTACAATTGGTCCTTTCGTATCCGGTAAAATTACAAAGCGCATCGATTAATGTCAATATTTCGATATTTCACATAATTGATTAACGCGGACCGTTTCCTCGCTACAGAAATAAAGTCTATCTTTAACTTGCGAAGATTTTCTCGTCCGTTTGTCTCGTAGTAAAGCTATTCGAAATGTGCGCGGGTGTGGGGCCCTGGAGCGCGAGGATGATATCGTGCACTCATCGCGACGGTTGTGTCGAATCTGGGCCAGCCACAGCGTGGCGATCAAAATAGCACGGCGTCGAGACAACTTCCACCCTTCCCATCAGCGTGTAGCGCTCTCGTCATCTGACCTCCTCTCCCCCTCCCCCCTCCAAATACACGCGCACACACACATATTACACATATGCAATGTCATCCGACTCTCTTACGCATTTTCGCAACCAGTGACGTTTCTGCCTTTTGCGGCGTATGGCTGAGAAAATTGGTTCAAACACGTATAACGTCATGTAACGTGTAAATTTTTCCACGGGTCGAGACACCTTTGCGAATTTTTATTTTCCTTCGGGAATTATTACTGATTCTTATAAGGCTCTCTGAGCCCAGAAACATGTACGAAATTGTAGGACACATAATGAGAGAATTGAAAATTTATAGGTGCCAATACATCCAAAACATCTGCCGGTCAATATTAGGATGTCATCAATGTTGGTGTATAAAATGTATTCATTTTATTATATCTATATCTACGTTTTCAAAACTGATATTTTTTATTTTATAGTTAAACATGACTATCCAGAATTCGTTTTTCATCCTTTCCTAAAATTTCCTTTTGCGTTTAAGACAACTTCTAGTGGGCGTAAAAATGATGTTCGTACCATAGGCTTATTATTGCCGGTTATTTGGTATCTAGGATATGCTAAATACCTTTTAAAAGATATTCAGGTATCTTCCCAGTACAATAATGACGTTATCTACGACGTTTATCATCTAGGGCAGCTCTGATGGTGAATTATCAAACAAATGAATGACATCATAAGGTCAGAATTACTATTTAAAGATACAAAACTATTTTTTAACACTAGTATTATTATCTACAAAATTATATCTATTTGATGACTGGCCTAAAGGGGCCCAAACTGGCGGGCCACTTGTAGACGTAAAAAGATGTTCGTACCGTAGGCTTGTTATTGCCGGTTATTTGGTATCTAGGATATGCTAAATACCTTTTAAAAGATATTCAGGTATCTTCCCAGTACAATAATGACGTTATCTACGACGTTTATCATCTAGGACAGCTCTGATGGTGAATTATCAAACAAATATGAATGACATCATAAGATCAGAATTACTATTTAAAGATACAAAACTATTTTTAATACTAGTATTATTATCTACAAAATTATATCTATTTGATGACTAACTGGACTAAATTCTTTGGTACGAAAGGATATTTTCATATACGATTAGCACAGGATTTTTGAGTCTACCAAGATTCAATTTCATACAGGGGGATTCTTTATTGCGTTTGCTTGTTCATCAACTGGCGCCGGATTTAATTAATCGAATCTCGATATCGATATCGATCACTGTTGTATGCTGTAACGCATGCCGGATTTTTCTAATCTATAATATCTAAAATCAAAGAAACAACAAATTACCGCAATTGACCGATACGATATCAATTTTTCTCACGCCAGAGTGTCTACGCAAATATTTAAAAAAAATTTCTTGAGATTTTCTTAATCTTCCAGGTTTTTTGTTTTAAATTTCGAATAAAATAAGAAAATTTGTAGATACAGCTTTTTAAAATAATTTTCTTATTGTATACGCTTTCGAATATTTTCTATTCATACGATTACAAAGAAAGCGATTATACGATTGCTAATTTAACCAATCAGCGGATTATGAATCGCTTGCAATATAAGAATAAAATTATCAAAGATAATTTTTAAAAAATTTTCTAATTTGCTAATTTGACCAATCAGCGGATTATCAATCGCTTGCAATAGATGCAAAAATAAAATTATCAAAGATAATTTTTTAAAAAATTTTCTAATTCTCAATAAAATTCTTGGATTTCCTTTTGTTTTAGGGCGTAGACAGGCAGGCATATCAATTAATGATTTAATAAAATAATGTACAACTATAATCACGATATAATCACGAATAGCTGAGACGAATCAGGGAAGATGGCCCAGATTGCATATTATTGCACAAGCTTACATGAGTTTTTTATTGTGTTCTATTGCGCAAAATCAAAATCTCTTGATATCAATGTGTTCAAATTTTCTCAACGATATTTTCTTCTTTTACACTACTAGATATAAATTTATAATTTATGCATCTATACCACGATTATCGAAAATACCGATCGACTGATATATAAAAGCGCAATGTTCACAGCCATTTTCGCTAATATGAGAAAAAGAAAACGAAACTTGTTTAAATTGTCAGAATTCATCGACAATTAGGCCGCTTTATAGTAAAATTTTTCCTTTCATACATTTGACTTATAAACTTTAACGTAAGTTGTCGAAGAATTCGCGGATTTCAATAAAAGCATGAAAATTCTTCGAAAAGTCTTCTTGATATATGATGTTGGTACCGCTGTCAATATCATGTCTTCATATACACTGTAATGGTAAAATTATCTATTCTTCGAATATTCGAAATATTTTCTGAGAAACATAATAAAAAATTATCAAATACACAATATAAAGCAAATAATACAATAATACGTATTGTATCATTAAAAAATTTTTAAATCAAATCAATTTTCTGAGAAACATAATACAAAATTATAAAATACACGATATAAAGCAAATAATACAATAATACGTATTACGTATCATTAAAAAATTTTAAAATCAAATAATAATCAAATGGTAGCTAACAGATTGTTAACATGACAGTGAAAATTTCACGTCTCCATTTTTGATTAATGTAATTGCGGAATAAAAATAACACTTGAAAAGGACCACAACGTTGGTCAAAACATAATGTTCATTTACTTTTAATAAAAGAATTAGCCAGTTTTTGGTCGAAGTAATTTGTCTCAGTATTATTTTTCAAATGATAATGTTCAATTACAAATGCGCGTTCGAAAGAAGTATTTTACAAATGAACCAGTGACGTCACCAAAAATCAATACGGTGGATACAGCCAGTAGGAGGCGTTATGACGTCGAACTGTGATGTCACTACTCGTCACACTCTCATGTGGGGATGGACGTATATACATATACAGATATAACAAATAGAGAGCGATCATTACGCATGTTCCGAACTATAGAAATAGAGTATACGTATAGATAGCCATTAATTTTCATTTAATTATTATAAAATTTAACAATAGTGATAAATTTAGACGCACAGATATGTTGCATATTGTGCTCAAACAAGTCTCCACATATAACTCCACATTATATATTATATATCTATATCACCCTCGACATTCGTACGCCCTTTCTCTTCGTTCCCTACTTCCCTGCTATCCAGACTTTCCCAGACAACAATGGGGCGGGATTGAGTGAGCCGTGGGGCGACGAACCGCACATTATTAAGCAACGTTCATAACGGCATTATGTTCGGCACAAATATATTCATCCATTAGATTAAATTTTTTTCATAAAACATTTCTGTTAGAAAAACTAGAAATATAAATAATACTGTTATTGCCTTTAAATTGTACGATTAATTTTTACAGCATGCCATCCATTACATTATCTAAAAACATCCGTTCGGTTTTTGGCAACCACCTCAGATGTATGTAATTTTAGAATTAAATTCGTTCATTCAATTAATGTTAATTTGGTACTAATTATGTTATTGTTTGTAGTGTTTATAACACATTGCTAAAAATGGCTTAATATAGACCGAAATGTCCAATTAATTTAATCAATAAACTTAAAATTATTCGCACGTCCTCCTTGGCTCTTATAGTTAGTCTTTTATTTATCCTTAATAAATAATACATATATATGCTAATAACTTAATACTAATTACTATAATAACTTTACGAAATATGAGAACGATTTAACGAACAAAATATCTTTTCATCACTTCATTCATTTTGGATATTCCTTTAGGTAATATCCGTGAATTTGCAGGTCCATATTATTAAAGCCTTAGGTCATAAACCTCTAGCCAAACCTTCAAGTCAAGCACTCTTGTGAATTTAAATTTTAATCGTGAACATTCCTGTGAATCGTGTTGCTTATTGATTAAGTAATGCTTCTGATATTTATTGATATTCTAAGTGATCACTCATATTTGTTTGCTTATGTTAATATTAATAATTATGTTTGGACTAGCTTAACATATATTTTTTTTTTCGATGCGACAGTAAAATTTCAACTTTTTGATACTCGCGATTCGAGGTTTGATCGATATAATAATTGGTTCATTGGTTCAATTCAATACAATAAACAAACTCAATGGATAAACAAGTGCAAAGGCTATTCAATCTACGCCGATAGCAATAATTTGTGGACACGAATTCGTTATATAGAATATTAGTTGCGGTATGCTGTTGCTATGTTATAAATAAAAAGTCTATAAATAATTTTACGCTGAAGAGATGGTCCAAAAAAGAGATCATATACAGAACATATGCTATTTATATCGATGTAAAGCATATTTTATATTTACAATAATGTTATATAGCCTCATTTTATAATATATGCGTTTTACTTACTGTAAGTTTGCTCTCATTGCCATTTTTTACTCGATTGAATAATTTTAATTTAAATTTAAAGATATAAGATAGGCAATAAGAGCCAACTCGCGGATGACAGTGCGTTATCCTAACGAAACTAAATTTTTCGTTAGGATTAAGTATCTGTGCACAAGGCACCAAATTTTTACTTGGTCACGGCCAAGATTTAAAATATGAAATAATCTCATATATTTGAGATTTAATTTCAATAACCCTTTCACCCTCCTGCGGAAATAAGTAAATACAAGAGAAAAATATAGATCCGAAAATCGCTGAATTTTAATTTAAATTTGACTCTATAAGAGCATTCGCGTTTAATATAGTATCCGCGAGTATTTGTTTAGTATAGTATCTGCGGAATAATAATCTTCTGGCTTATGCAGACGCACTTTTATTAGCTGCGGAAGGCGCGGCGTGGATAATGAAAGCGGTCGCGGCACGAGCACACGTCTCAGGTGCACGTTAAAATCGATATTTCAAGTAGGTCAGTAGGTTACCAGGCAAAGGATGATAAGAGATCACATCGGACGAAGGATCGCTATCGTTA